GAGAGGGGACCGTTGCCTGTGTGAACTAGCCTACCTGCGACTGTGCGTCTCTCCAGTAGGCTATTTAATCTATTTTATTAATAAAAGTCACGGGAGAGCATTCTCAAGAGGTTTGTGTCCTCCTGAATGTTTGTACATGTGCGCAGCGCGATCTCTGATCTCACAAACCAAAATATGAATTATTATAAAGATTATTAAAATGAATACGTATGGATGACAGTTGATTACAATATTTCAGTTTATTTCATGCATCAATTATCTAATTTATTAGTATTCAAAGAGAAGAACTCTTCTGCCTTCTTACCAAAGGAAGACAATACTTCTAGCTTTAAATAAAAAAAGCACATAACAACCACCTTAAATATTTTTTTATCAATTTAAGGTCTAATTTAAAACTGCAATGTAATGGAACTTCTTTTCAATACTTCTTTACTTGTGATTTACATCATAATGAAATGGATTATTAAGAATGAAAAATATGTCAGGTGGAGACTTGGTTCGATCCACTGGTTGTTGATTGGATGGAGGCAGATCTGAATGCGAGCTTGCAGTTGGTTGTAATTAAGGGGCAGAGTTTATGTGGACGACATGTGTTTACCGAAGTCTGGCATGTTTCACCAGAGAGAAGTCTGTGGTTTCTTTGTAATATATGTCCCAAAAAATACATGAAATATAGATCAATAACATGGATTTACATAATAGGATTCATTTCATGCTGACTTTAAATAGGTTAGAAAAGTCTTCTTTGTAAGATCGGATGGTGGCTACAGCTGAAGGTGATAATGGTGTATGCTGGGCTGGGGCTGAGGGGAGTGGGTGGCTCATACTGGGCTAGACCAGGAGGACAGGGTGAGTTATGCATGCATACTGAGGGCACATGAGGAATGCAGGAAAGGGGGTCTGATTCGCTGGCCAGACTTCCGGGGGAAGGCGCCATGAGTTCAGTGACTCACAGAGCAGCTGAACTGTAACTTCATCAAAGCCCACTATAAAGCCACTGACCCCGTGGCACGTGCCTGTATGGAAAATCATCAGGGCAGGCAATGCCAAAAGGCTTAAATATTGCTCAGCAACTGCAATTGTTTGGGAGTGTGATATCAGGTCAGCACTTTCATAATGTCCCTCCTGCGTGTGACTGTTCCACACTTGCTGCCACAATAAAGACTTGCATTGTTACCCACCCAGCTTCAGAGAGCAAATAACTTTTCGGCCAGCTTGCAAAAATAGACAACATTATTTAAGCAGAATATTTTTTAAATGTTTCTGAAAGAAGCTTCTTATTCTCACCAAGGCTGCAATTTAAAAAATACAGTAAAAACAGTAATATTGTAAAATATAAAACAATTATTAAAATGCATTATTACAATTAAAAAGAATTTTTTATATTTTAATACATTTTAAAAGGGAATTTATTCCTGTGGTGGCAAAGCTTTTGAGCAGCCAATACTCCAGTTTTCATTGTCACATGATCCTTTACAATCTTGTGCTCAAGAAATCAATTCTTATTATTAATGTTGAAAACAGTAGCTCTGCTTAATATTTTTGTGAAAATAGTGATTCTTTGATTAATTAAAAGTTCAAAACCATTTATTTGAAACAGAAATCTTTAGTAATATTATAAATGTCGTTATTGTCTCTTTTGATCAATTTAATGTGTCCTTCTTGAATAAAAGTATCCTTCTTTTTTTTTGGACTTCTAACTAGACACAGCATCTAAAAAAACAGTGATCCTGATGCTGAAAAAAAAAAGTTACACATAATGCAATTACCAAAGATTGTGAGTCTGACTCATGTACACAGATCATTTAAATTGAAAAAATAGTGTAGACCGGACATCCTATGTGAACCCATAAGTGTACCTGAGACGTATTGACATCCTTTTCTGCAAAACTGACTGTCCTAATTAGAAGCAAAAATAACATGTTTGCTGTTGAACAGACAGAACTCTGATTTTTTTTTTTTTTTAAATGAGACTTGATTATAATTGAATAACAGATATATCAATAAGCAGATATTAAAGCAGATGTCAAATTTATGAATATGTTTTGCAGATGCTCAGCAGACTGCTTGACATGACCAATCTCCTTTTATTCTCCTCGTTTATATCGATTATACCTGATAAATGATTGGCGTATTAGAAATACAAACTTTTAATAGTCTCTTTGGAAGAAAACAAACATACATAACTTAACACAATTCCAAGAAAAGCAAGAGTATTGTTTAACTTCAAAATCCTCTCAGCATGCAAACTCAACAGATTGTATGTTTGTTACGCAATGGAAATTTTGTTTTTTGTTCTAGAGGGTAGAAAAGGTGTGGTATAATTTTCAGAGCGCAGCGTAAAGCAGACAAGGTGTGAGCCACGATTCAGTCAATAGATGTTCATCCAGCAGTTAGCACAAGTAAACAGGATACCTCAGAAGAACGCGAGCCACATAAAAGCCACAGAAGTTAACGAAAGAGGCAGTATGCGAGGGAGAGATGTGTGTGAGCGCCACTCAACAAACATCAGACAAACACAGACGCACAGCCTACATACCCTCCCCCTCTTGTGAAGAGTCACACTCCTCTCCTTCAAACACACACACACACACACACACACACACACGCTCAAAACACATGTAACCAAAACTTACCACTTCTGCAAACTGCTACTCTAACCAGTGCAGAGCTGTGTTTTCAGTAGCGACGCAAATCAGAAAAGAGTGACTTCATTTAAATGAGGGCTGAAAAACATCCGAGAGGTGTATTATTAGATGAGCCGGGCGTGTGTAACCCACAATAGACGGGCAAGTAAATGAGGTACGCCGTGTGCTCCATTTCGGATGATGAGGTGTAGCCTCCTGAGACACCGCGATGAATTGGCCTGTCGCTGTGCTTTATTAAAGAACCGGATAAGTCAGCACAGCGGTGGATAAGCTACAGCTGGGACGACGCGTAACCCCTCTAAGAAGTTTATGCTTACAGCATCTGCCTACTGTGCTAGTTGGAATCAATGGGTTTGGGCCCAATGTGTGTGGGCCTCCTTCTCGATTTATACAAAGCAAAGGCCACATGTAGAAGTTCCTGGCTCTGTTCTGATCAAGGTTCTATTCCTTAAAGAGGTCACGTCATATATTCTTATGATTTCATTTTTCCACTGAGGTCAACTTAAGTTATTTATGCCCAAAACAGTCATATTTAATTTTTAAATTAAATTAATTTTAATTTTAATTTTCTTTTCCACCCTCTCTCTCTGGCGTTAAGAATTAAACAGCATTTTTTGGTGGTTCGCATGTGACATGAGCAGCAGATTGCTGTGGTCTAATCCTCAAAAACCATTTTGTGGGTTTTATTATCATGACTAGGGATATGCCGGTATCAAATTTTCATGTTGCGATTAATTGCTAATGCTTTTATTACGGTATGCGGTATTATCACGATATTGAAATGAAGTTAAAAAAAAGTGCTGTCATAATACAGTATACCAGGTTTAATAACTTTTTTCTTATAACAAAAATAACTGAACATTTAAATGCAATAAAGCAATACAGAAAAATGTATAAAGTTAAAAGTTTTACACAGATTAAAGTGCAAAAGAACTATAAAGACCAATAGGTATCACTTTACAATAAGACCTCATTAGTTAACCTTAGTTAATGCATTAACATTCACAATGAGCAATAGCTACATTTGCTACAGAAGTTATTAATCTTTGTTTAAAAAATACAAGTCTTAGTTCATGTTAGCTCATTAAATAACAGCTGCAACTCTGGATTTTAACAACGTGTTATTAAATATTGTAATTACCTAAGATTAATGAATGTTCAGAAGAATTTTTCATTGGCAGTTTATGTTAACTAATGAATTAACTAATGTTAACTAATGAAGCCCTAATGTAAAGTGTGACCGAACAATAAAGAATCAAAACACTTTCAAACAATATCTAGGGTATGTTGTAGTCCAGATTAAAATGTAAAAAAAAGTTTGAAAATAAATAGCCTATTAAGTCTAAATATTTAAGTATTTGGCGCTGTGATGAACATCATAGCAAATACACAAATCTGAATGGCTATTTACATAATTTAAACATGATTCAGAAACAGGAAGTAGTGCAGCTGCTTTGTTTACAGGGTTTCCGGGGTAACGGCTGCATTTAAATGAATTATTATTATTATTATTTCTGCAGTTTAGCGCCATCTGCTGTCAGAGAGTGAAAGCGCTTTCATCCAGAGTTTCTCTCACATGTTCCGCCATGTGCTTCATGTCCGCGCTTGTTTACATCAGAGTGCGCACGTGTCTTTCACGCAGCATACAGCGGTGTTGTGCATTTTGACCAGTTTATGGGAAAAGTATTCTTAAAATGCATTCAAAATTCTGAATAATTTGTAATATATAATTATTCACGGTATTTAGAAGTGCCCACGATAACAATATCGTGCATATTCATTACCGTGATATATCGCATTACCGAATACCGACACAAGTCTAATCATGACCATCATTTATGTCAAATGTCATTTATATATTTTTTTACATATATATTTATATGTATTTTTTTTTTAAGAAAACTAATTTATTCTGCAAGGATGTATTAAATTGATCAAAAGTGATGCATTAAATTGATCAAAGACTGTTACAAAACATTCTATTTCAAATAAATGCTGTTCTTTTGAACATATTCAACGAATCCTGAAATGTCGTGTGAATCACTGTTTGTACAACAACCCTCTACATTGCGAGTAAATCACTCGCATATGCGACTAAATCTTCACTCTGGGCGACTAAATGATGTCTAATATTAGCCAATGGCTAATAAATTATCAGATTTTACTCGCCAGTGTGTGAGTTGGAGGCTGAGTATATGATTAGCACAGATATATTTTCACTCACAGAACACTCTGACTGAGCGCTTCAGAGTTTCACTCTCCATCAAGCGATCTGTGATATTTTTCAGTTCATCTCAATGGATGCGCAGCACACCTGTATTTGACATACCGCGATTCAATTGCCAAGGTGTCCGTAGAGGGTTGTACAACAATATTAAGTAGCACAAATGTTTTCAACACTGATTATACTAAGTAGGGATGCACCGAAATGAAAATTCTTGGCCGAATTCGAAACTGAACAAAATGAAACACTGGGCCGAGGGCCGAATACCGAACACGGTTTTTCACATTTTTTCCCCCATGTATTTTGCCAATTTTTTTCACCATTGCATAAAATTAAAAAGCCCAAATGTGCTTTTTACTGTTTTGTCTTGCTTTTCAAAGAAAAAATAAATTAAAAAATAAAAAATTTAAAATATATACTTACACTGAACATTTTTTAACATTCTTGCAGACATTAGGGCTGGGCGGTATGGCCAAAAAATTATTTTAGTGTTTACGATTAGGGCTGTCACGATTATGAAATTTGGATGACGATTAGTTGTCTAAAAATAGTCACCGTTATTGCGATTAATTATCTGTTTTAGGTAGGGTTGGGTACCGAAACCCGGTACCAATATGGCACCGGTACCTCTATGCAACTGGTATGTACTAGAACCGAATCAGAATGCAGATTTCGGTGCCATGCCTGAGCTATCGATTGAACTATTTGTCCTCTGGTTCTCCGAAACGGACGTAAGAAGCATCATCACCGGCACCGCACGTGAAAAATAATTTTCCGACTGAGAAAATACTCGTGAACTCAAGTCGGAAATCTCTAATAATACAAATCCAACAAATCTTTGTAGTAACGCGAGTGTCCATGTTGTTTTCACATTCCGTCTTAAGCACAACTCGGGAAATGAGAGAATCCGAGGAGCGCGTGAATGCAGTACTTGCTCTGATGGCAGCAGGTAGCCTTCCGGTTAACTAAGCTAAACATGCTTAAATTAAAATGCCTAAAGCTGAACGATTAGCAATGGATTATAAATATACTTAATTATTATGAAAATACCAGATGACTTGAATAAAACAGATAAACTATGTTGTCGCAGTAGAGTGTTTATTGTCTTTGTTTTATCATTCAAAATGTTTATATGTTCTGTTTACTCAGTTAACTTACAGCTATAATAGCCATGCCTTTGTCCATATAAGGGATTTCCTGAGTTTCGCTACTTCTATGACTGGATATGTGGATTTTCTGTGCGAGGGCGCCCTCTGGCGTCCAGTATGAATGAAACAGTCATCATGTGTTTATAGTGGTAATGGCCAATTCATCATTTTTGGGGGAATTTTTATTTATTCATTTTTTTAATAAGTATCGGTTCAGGCACCGGAACGGTTTTAAAAGTATCGATTTGGAACCGGTATCGAAAAAAAACCAAACGATACCCAACCCTAGTTTTAGGGCTTTGGCGATTATGACGATTATCACGATTATCACGATTAATTGTCTGTTTTTTATGGCTTTCATTATATAATTGTGATTAATTTAAGGGTTCAGTAAATAATTAGGGATGCATCGATCCGATACTCAGTATTGGTATCGGCTCCGATACTGCCATTTTCTGCCGGATCAGGTATCGGTCAGACGAGACCGATCCAAATCCGATATTGTGCGTATACTATGCTGTGTTATTGTTAAGTCCCACGAAAGGCACAAAAACGCCTTAAAGCACCATAAAGTTTTCGTGCACTATATATTAAGTGTTCTTAAGCCGTTCCATAGTTTAATGTGAAGTATAGATGAATATTTAAGCCAGGTTCGCGTAAACTCTTCCGGTATCGAAAAAAAACCAAACGATACCCAACCCTAGTTTTAGGGCTTTGGCGATTATGACGATTATCACGATTATCACGATTAATTGTCTGTTTTTTATGGCTTTCATTATATAATTGTGATTAATTTAAGGGTTCAGTAAATAATTAGGGATGCATCGATCCGATACTCAGTATTGGTATCGGCTCCGATACTGCCATTTTCTGCCGGATCAGGTATCGGTCAGACGAGACCGATCCAAATCCGATATTGTGCGTATACTATGCTGTGTTATTGTTAAGTCCCACGAAAGGCACAAAAACGCCTTAAAGCACCATAAAGTTTTCGTGCACTATATATTAAGTGTTCTTAAGCCGTTCCATAGTTTAATGTGAAGTATAGATGAATATTTAAGTCAGGTTCGCGTAAACTCTTCTCCCCGCTGCGTCTGTCATCCTCCATTCAGCATTCAAACTGCATGTCGCGGTCGGTTACTACAGTCAAAACGATGAAACTCTCTTCAAGAGTGCACAATAACCGAGATTTAAAACTGATAAAAGAAAAGGCTCAATAAAATATCGCACAGATATAATACACTACGCAGTAGGGCTGCACGATAAATCGCATGCGATATTTAACGCGCATCTTGTCAGAAAGCCGGTTCTGTAATCAGCGGTAAATCTCCATCACGTGCGTGCTTCATAGAGTATTCCAAATTCTAAGAATCGGCCAATACCGATCCCACACCATTTTTTTTTCTACACCACTACAGAATATCAATTCTGTGTTTGTGGAACTAATGGTCACTCTTAGAGTGTGTTAAAAATGTAAAAGATTGGATGACCAATAATTTTCTCCTATTAAATTCAAGTCCACTAAAGGAGGTAGAGCTTTTTCGCATTTGGCTCCCAAACTTTGGAATAGCCTTCCTGATAATGTTCGGGGTTCAGACACACTCTCTCTGTTTAAATCTAGATTGAAGACACATCTCTTTGGCCAAGCATTCAAATAATGCATCTCATAGTCTTGTACTGCAGTTATATCTGATCAATGCACATTATTATTCTTTAGTTTGGGTTAAACAAATCAATTTTGCTTGGTTGGAACAGCAGCTACGCTAATTATGTCTCTATTTGTTTCTCTGTTTTTGCCACGGGATTGACATCCCCACAAGCTTCAGTCTGGATCCAGAACACCTGAGAAGAGATGATGCCAACCCCTCAGAGGACCTCAGATGATGCCAACCCTGAAACAACATACAGAACTACCACATTTTGCTATACGTTTGATTGCATCATATAATAATTGTTGTTAATAGTGTTCATCGTCTGTTTGATTACATCTTTAATTGATTTTTCAATACATTTCTGCCATATGTACATTGACTGACAGTCACCACTGATAAGCTACTACTAAATATACTGTAGAAACGTAATTTTCTGTAAAGTTGCTTTGCAACGATTTGTATCGTGAAAAGCGCTATACAAATAAACTTGAATTGAATTTAAAATATTTTAGAACATTATACATTTCTTTGCTGACACTTTTGCATCCTTGAATAACACTATTAATTTCTTTCACAAAAAAAAAATAAATCTTACTGACCCCAAACTTTTTAATGGCAGTAGTTATGGGAAAGTACTTGTAAAATTTGGAGGTCCTTCCTCTTCCTCCTATAATAGTACCATGTTTATCAGTACAGTGTGTGTGTTTATCAGTACAGCAGTGTGAGAAATCAACAGGTGAGTCTGCAGGAAGAAAACAACATCTCTACTCTCACGTTACCTGCTTCACACAGCCTCCCACACACAGTCTTTCACACTTACTACTGTCAAACCCATTGTGAAAATGTAATGATTTCTTTAAAGGCAAAGTTTACATACAAAATTCAATGAACTTTTAAGTCTTTATTTCACTGATAGTTTTCCCCTCAACTAGATCAGTGGTTTGAGGTCAAATACACGTGCAAAAAAAGACCTTTACGTTCTCTGAATGCTCCAAACGATCGGCCACTGCATGATCAGAACCAGCTGATAATCACTTCCACTGATTCGATATATGATCTCCCATCTTGCCGATCACAGTGTTATGACACAGAAGATGTGAATGTGTATGGCAAATATGACAAAACTCAGCCGTGTCTCAGTCTCCACCTGGCTAGAGTAAAATACTAATGCAGTTACAAGGTGTGTGTAATTCAAGCTACTATAACTCCCGATCAATCGGCTGCTCTTCAGTCTGCATACATGTGCTGCTTTACTTCCACTCTTGACTGCACTCTTCCTTCCCACAAACAGGTCATCTTCTTTAAAGCTCCAAGTGAAGAGTTGCCAGATATATAAAAAAAAGCAACCTGGTCTAAAATACACAACTACCCCAGATACTGTGCTTTGGGTAAGTGAAAACAAACCCTTAAAATTGCAATATAATAAGCAGGCATGGCAAAACTGCACCAGAAAAACAAACATAAGATCAATATCCTACAAAATTAAAAGACAGGAAACATAAATTACAAATAAAATAGCTGAATATAAAATATTTGGTGCTTAAGAAAAAATTATTATTAGTATCAGTGTTGAAAACAGTGCTGCTTAATATTTTGTGGAAATTGTGATACATTTGTATTCTTTTATGAACAAAAAGTTCAAAAGAAAAGCATTTATTTAAAACAAATGTTTGGTAACAATGTTTGATGAATTAAATGTGTCTTTGCTAAACAAAACTATTCATTAAAAAAAAAAAAAAAAAAAATGCCCTCGTAATTTTAAACTATTTAT